ATTTTGAATATTGCCATTGGCATAAATACAGAAAAGAAAAAGATTATCAATATAAAATGAATTGGTTAAAAGGTTTTAAATATAATAACAATGATAAAAATGAAGCCAATGACCCTAAGCAATATAATTAAACAGAATCGAAGTCAAAATAGATGACTATATAGCACCTAGTTGTTACCAAATATCTGCAGAAATAGGCTACATAAATGTAATAATCGAATCTGACTACAAGTATAGCAAAAAAGAAGAGCATAATACCATTATTGAAGAAACAAATAACAAATCATATAAACCTAAATTCGATGACCCAATCCTAGACTTAATCGATAGTTATTTTGATAAAGAATTTGTAGATCAAAAGCATAAAGTTGAAAGAGATAAGTATGATAGAAACAAAATTTAAAAACATAAAATAGAGGATATCTACTTAGCATTAACTCATTATCAACAATCTGCTAAGATAAAGGGTACTAATAGAATATATATCTTTGATCTTTGCTGCGAAAAAGAAATTAAAACTGAAGAAAATAAATATAAGGTCTTTATTAACCAAAAATCTGCTAATATAGACTATAATAATAAAATAAGTACTGATAAAGCTAAAAAGGGTGGCCATAAGATATTTGGTAATTTTCAAAAATCAACAGAAATGAAATATGCTGATGATCTTGAAAATTGTTATGAAAAGAAAGTTAGAAGCAAAAAGTATAAATATAAAGTATCCACATATTATCAAAAAGCTACTGAAATAGATAATTCTAAAGGATTATTTAAAAACAAATATTATTATAAAATAAAAAGGGCTAATAAATATAAAACCTCTCTGTATGAACTAAGAAACTTTGAATATGATAGTTATAGTGATATTAAATCTGAAGGCAGTAATGAAATTGATGAAAAAGTCTCTGGAAGAAAAACATGTGAATCAGAATGTTGCAACCAAGATGAAAGTAGAGCTAAAATAAACAAAAATAAGATTAATAGAATTGATGTTAAGAGATAGATAATATGTCTGAAAAATATAAATTTGAATCCTGCTATCAAAATAGAATTGAAGTTGAAAAGGATAGATATAAGGTATGCACCCAACATCAAAAATTAGTAGAAAAGAGCATTGAAGCTAAAAAGAATGTGCACCTATTACCAAAAGTCTGCTGAGATGAAATATGATGATAGAACATATCATATCAAATATTGCTATGAAAATAGGATCAATAATAAAAAGCCT